CCTGCCATAACAGGAGGGCTTAAATGGAATTAGATCCACCTGGAGATAAGCACCTCCCGTGTTTTGTATGAGTTGGAGGCTGAGGAGCCATTTCTCCTCTCTCCCACACTGACCTTTTGTTTTTGTGTAAGAAGGTGTACGTGGGCTGTGTAAGCCTAAATATCCCTTTCTCTCAGACCCTGCCACTTGCCTTGCGCTGTACTCCTAGGAATGATTCCAAGAAAAACATATTGAGTACCTTAAAGAGGGTTCCTCTGGCTTGAGCTGGGGTGGAGGAAGACAGGTGCAGATCACGGCCTTTTCTGTCCCCCGAGCTGTCTGAAACGCTTCTGACTAGAGCCGCGTAGTGCCTTAGCCCAGGGATAGATCTGGGCAAAGCTGGGCTGCCCCGGAGCACCATAGGACCAGAGCTGGAGATTGCACGGCAAGGCCACAGAAGAGAAACAAATCTGGCTGTGAATTCAGTGGGTACTGCAATGATTAAATGGGCCTGAAACGGCTTAAGTACTGTCTACAGCATCTAAGCAGGAAGACCTGTGGCCAGAGTGAAAGCTTCCATTGCCCCTGTAGTAAACCTTGCTCCAAAACCAGGAGGGTGTGCTGCAGAGGCCTCGCGCCAGAGCAGCAGTTCGGGCTACGACCTGCTTCTCAGCTGCCTGCAAGGATCTTCCCACCATCTGCCTTCCAGAGTAGGAGCTCTTAGACTGAGAAGGGGAAGAGGCTCGTGTCCCCATGCACGGCTGAAATTGCCCAGGCCTTTTCGAATAAACCAGTTCCTGATTTGCAGTAACAAAACATCCTCGTAAAGGTCAGAGAAAACACCCAGCCTCAGCGTGCTGAGCACTGCACAGGGACAGCCCGCGATTGTAAGGGGGCCAGCTGCAATAACTCCACTCAGGTAAGAAGAGGCGTCAGGCTACGTACCGCGGAACAGGAGCTGAGCTGCAGGCCAGGGGACAGAAGCCAGAAGAGGAGCAGGCAGCAAGCCAAGGAGCCTGGCATAACAGCTCCCTGCTTCAGCCCCTCACCAGCACATGCAGCTCCTGCAGGTGCTCCTTGTATTGGCTGGTGAAGTTGTCTCTGCACCTGGGGCTGCCGCGGCCCACCTGAGGGCAGTTGCTGGTGAGCAAACCTCAACACAGCTCAGTTGGGAGACCCTGGGTCTAAGCAGAGCGTGTTCTCCCTCTGACACCACAGCATCCAGCGCAGGGCTCTCGGGTGCCTGCAGCGCAAGTTCAGCCATGCTATGGTGAACTTCCTGATCTGCAAAGGTGACAGCAGAGGGTGAAGCTGAGGTCCTCAGAGGCCATCTCGCCTGGCCCCACTGATGTGGGGTGTTGCTGGCAGGCTGGTCTGCTCCCAGTTGATCCAGGGTGATTTCTCTTTGTGTTGCCAGGGCTGAGGGAGTGGTTTTCTGCTGAGAAAAAGCCAAGCCGAGGAGCTCTGGGAAGGATCAATGTGTTTTTCTACCTCTTCTCCCCCTTTCCCATCGCTGTGCGTGACTTCTGTTGTCAATTGTTTCATGTCCTGGAGCCAGATCCCAGCAAGCAGCTGGCAGCGTCGTGCTGCCCCGAACGTGCCCCTGTGGGTGAGGAGAGTAGGAAGGAGTAAGTAGCGTGATGTTTTGCCTGGCTCAAAGGCAGCAGCCAGACATTGCTTCCTCCTTCCCGTCACTAAACATGCCCGTCGATAGCGCAGACCGGCTGGATTGTGACCCCATTAACCTGAGCTCTCTAGACCAGTGAGCGAGGAACACTGGCCTCTTCTGGCTTAAGCTCACGGCCGTTCCCAGGCCCTATTTGTGGGCTCTCCACAATCCTAAAAGAAGGGCTGTCCTTCAACACCAACCTCTGCAGGCTTCAGTAAAGTAACCCTTGCTGTTCAGAGGACTCTGCTGCTTAATCCTTTTCTTCCTGGAGCCTGTTGAATGCACTTGCTGTAACAGCCCTGGCAGGGAGCAGAGCTGGAGTGCTGCTGGCTCTGGCGGCGTGAACTTGCTCTCCCATTGTGAAACTGAGCTGGAGGGTGCAGGAACGAGGGGAAGGGGCATCGCTCTGGCAGCTGCTGCTGGGTGAAGGGCTAGCTTGTCCCCGGAGTTGGCCTGCTGTGTCCCCGGAGCGTCCTTGCCAATTGGTGTTAATGCCGAGTGCTTCTCGACGTCTCCAACACTGACCTCCTTTCCTGTTGCTCTGTGGCCCCTACAGCTTTGGAGCGACGAGGTGGAAAAAGTAAGTACCCGGCTGAAATTGTGCTCAAACCTTCTGGGCGTGCTGGTGGTGTTCAGGGGGTGGGGGGTGCTGTGGACTCCCTCCTGCTCGTGTGCTTGCACACACGCGGGGGAGGATCCGTGGGATGTTGCTGTTGTCAGCCGCAGTCCTGACCTGCAGCTGTATGGTTCAGTGCGACTCTGACAGTGGCTTGGGAAGAGCCTGTCCCGAGGGCCAGTTGGCTGTACCTGGTGTGAGAGACTTCCTAGGCAAACCAGGCGTGCATTCGTGCGTATGTGATAAAAGACAACTCTGAGAGCCCTGCACCGGTGTCGCAGGAGCAGAGGTGATGCGCTGTGAAGTGATTCAGCTCTGCTCCTGCGGCAAAGGCCCTGCCTGCTCCAATTTTGCATGTGCCATGCGTTAGCCTCTAGTAGCCCCTTGCCTGCTTGTTCTGAAGAGCTGAAGCAAGGACAGAAGGTTTCCCCATGAACAGCCCCAGCTGCTGGGGGGAACAGCTCTGTCAGGAGGGCAGGGTGGGAGGTTTGGAGCCTGTCGTGGAGTTGACACTGGCTGGGTGAGCTGCACTTACCCTTCCGAGTGGATCCATGGAGGCAAAGTCCCAGATCTTGTTTTTTTTCTGGGCTCTGCAAGGGGAGTGTGACTCGTCCATGAAGATGGATGGAGGGTTGCTAGTGGACTAGAGACCAGGGTGAGCTCTGTGCGGAGCTCCAGCATGGTGTGGAGCTTCCAGAGACACCTTCTGGGATGCCATTGCCTTTCATACCTCAAACACCCCCAGCAGATATTAGCCTGAAGCCCGAAGTGCAAGGTGGTAGAATGGCACGTTCCTGCATGCTGTGCATGAGAGCAACCTATTACTGCCGTACTCTAAATGCATCATCAGAGCAGATTGGCTGGTTTTGAACGAGCTCATCCTGTACTTTAAATCCTTCAGTCCCTCAAACAAATCAGATGATTGCAGTCAGCTATAAGCATGCAAGGCTCTGTTCCTCTATGTTCTATCTTTGGTCTATCCTGGTTGGATAGACCGAAGTATGTCAGTAAACGTCAAAGTTCTTCATGTCTTGGAGAAGCACAAGACTGGAAGGGACGTCCCAGGTCACAGTCTGGTGCTGGCTTTATGGGAAACTACATCCTGCAACTGCTCAGAGCTAGCAGGGAGAGGCAATGGGTCAAATCCCAGGCGGTGCCAAATGGAGCTGGGTCTGCCTGTCACAAGTTTCAAATAGTTCTGCTGCCACTGAAGTCTCCGCTCAGCTCACTGGAGCAAGAATCTCTTGGTGCTTAGTGAGGTATACTGAAATACTGGTATTTCCTGTTACATTCCTCCTTGTCCTTTAAATAATCCCTTTCATACAGAGGATGCAAGAAAATAGATCAGTTGTAGCTTAAAATAGACAAATTTGATTAAAAGACAGTCAAAGCATTTCTTTGTTCTAGCCTAGCTGTACAACAGCACTGGTAATGCTATTACCAGATGAGAGGTGTAATGGCCTGCAGCATCTCCTCCAGCTGGGAAGGCTGGGTGTCCTCTGGGGTGACCTGCTCAGAAACACCAGCGATGCGGCCTCTGCTCTGAGACTGTCAGCCTGTCTGGATTAGCTCTCCGGGGTCAAGACCAAACAAGTCCTGTGCCAGATTGATCAGGGCATTTCCAAAGCAGCAAAAGGAGCTCTGTCACAGAACCACTGCACCGAGGCAGGCAGCCCTCCGATTGCTGCACCCCCCTGGAGAAGGGGAAGAGGACACAGAACCCGTACTCCTCTCCTTCCAGCAAGCTGTAGCTGAGTGGATATCACTCTTCTCTGCCATCCTAAGAGCGAACTGGCATGTTCTGCTTGGTGTTAAGGAGTAATGCATGCTAGAGAGAACAAAAGTGCCTGTTTGTCTCCCCTTTCCCTCTGGCAGCGGGGAGGGGAGAGCAGGCACCAGAGCACCTGATTGCTCTAACACTTCTGGAGCTCTTCTCTTTGCAAGGATCCACCTGGGTATTCTGGTACTGCAAAACTGCCGGAGTGTAAATGTGCTGTTTGTTGGTGGCGGAGAAATGTTCTGTCTGTTCGGTAAAGAGGGTCTCCAGTATTAGTCTGTCTTTGAATTCCCAATGTCTGCTGCATAGCTGCCTTCTATTAACCATTGTTTAATTCCCCCGAGCTCAAAATAAGTAACTAGCTTCAAAGGAGAGCCTTGGGTAGAAGTTGGATTGGGATGTTCATCTCCATTGTGGAGAGATGTGGTTAGTAACTACAATTTGGTAAATGCTCCCTGGCCTCAGCCTTTGTTCTGTGGTGACAAAACGGATTCGGGCAAAAGTTGCGCTTGGAGAGAAACATAGGGAGGTTGTCACGTTCCTGTGCCTATGGGCTTAGAGAGAGGGGGTTAAAAGGACAGATGCTGGCATGGGACTGGCTTTCCACACACCTCAGGATCGACAAAGCCTCTCCATCTTCATGTTCTAGTCTTGTGGGAGTAGGAGCTTCCTAGCTTGATGCATCAGTCTTGAGCTGCTGTTCCATGACCTGCAGTCATCCAGTGCAGGATCAAGCAGGAATCAAGTTGAAATACAGCCAGAGGCCTCTGGGATCCTCACCCAGGGTGTCTTGTGCCGATGTTCAGTGTCACAGATGGATCCTACTGGGCCAACAGCACACTTGGCTCAGTGCCAAAAGGGGGGGGGCGTTGGTGGAGGTGGGTGTTGCCTCTCCCTGGAAGAGGCGGAATGGTGGTCCTTGCCTTGTGCTGTCTTGAACACCCTGTCCTGTTTTTCAGGCAGAACACGAGCTGAGGCTCACACAGACCGAGTTTGATCGACAGGCAGAGGTGACACGTCTCCTGCTGGAGGGGATCAGCAGCACACACGTGAGTCTCCTTAGGTGACGGGGGGTGACAGGGACTACAGAGACTCTTGGCTCCTTTCGAGAAGAATGCCAAGAGGATGGTGGAGCCCTGCACTGGGAGCAGAGGTAGAAGAGGTCATAAATTTGGATGCTGGAATGCTCAAACTAAAAACATAATGAAGCATGCACAGGCAGTGCCACTGTGACACCCGCAGCTCTGCAGTCCTCGAGATGCTTCCGAGCCAGGAAAACCTTGTGGTTCTCTCATTAGAGCTGTGGACTAGCCACATGGGCATGGCTAGAGTGCCAGGGGCAGCCTCCTCTCCGAGATCACCCTTGGGCCTATGCAACATTCCCAAACTTAACAAATTAGTGTATTCAGGACAATCAAGTAACTCTCTTAAATGCTGGCCTGCACAAGTCTGCTTCCCGTGGGGGTAGGTCACAGCTGCAGGAAGAGGGTTCCTGTGCCTGGCACCCAAACTCACGGACCAGCTTAAGGTCCTTCTCCCTCCAGGTGAATCATCTGCGCTGTCTCCACGAGTTTGTGGAGTCTCAGACCAACTACTATGCTCAGTGTTACCAATACATGCTGGACCTACAGAAGCAACTGGGCAGGTGAGACAAGAGACTGCTTTTATTTCTCTAAGGGTTACTCATCTGGCTACCCCTAGCTCAGGCCTCCTTCCCCATCCCGTGTCATAATGTTGGGTGGAAGTTTTAAAGCCCCCTCCATGCTCTGACAGAGCTTCTGAGCTTACAGAATGGTGACCAACCCCAGTGGTATTGCATTTAGAGCAGGCTTTGCCATTGGATTCATCTGTGTTTTACACATTCGTCTCAAAGCATGATGGCCATGGGAGTTTGAACATTCTTGCTCTAAATTAGTTAAATCGCATGGGAGACAAATTCCTGTTGCCAAGCAGCAAGCCTGAGTGTGCTCAGCTGCAGCAGTAACTAATTCTGTGCTGCTGGCTGCTCATCCCGTGGGCGTGGGCAGGGCTGTTTTGTCTGTTAGCTTGTCACATCGGTGCGGTGGCCTGACCCAGGAGGGGCTCTTGCCTCTGCGTGATCACTCACTACTCCTGTTCCATTCTTTTCCATGCTTGCAGCTCCAAAGGAGAAATGTAAGTAAGATGTTGCGCAGGACCGGCTCTAAGAGCTCTCTACCTCAGCCAACCTCTGGGGAGTCTCTGCAGACTCACTACAAAGGCCAGCAAGGGCCAGAGCTGCACTCCCTTAGTGCAGAGGAGGGTATCGACAGATAAATGACACCGAGCTCCATTACTGTCCCTATCTAGAGAGCCCAGAAAGCCTGGGAGCCTCCAGTTTTGGCATCCAGTTTAACAGCAACGACTGTCCCGTTCCTGAAGAACTAGCAGACTAAACAGATAACACAGACCATGTGAGAGCGGGGCAGGGACACAGCACAACGCACCCAGTAAAACAGCTGCAGAGCCAAGAATAGCACCTGCCCAGACCCCTCTCTGCTGCCACACTTCAGTCCCGTACCCTGCAAGTTAAGTGCCAGTCCTGTAACAGGACACTGGAATCAAAATAAGCAGACAAATATTACCTTTTTCATAGTCTCAGCACCTAAGAACTGAGTTCATTTCCCCACTCAAAGGGCAGCGTAGATCTGTTACAGCTATTAGTTGGAACTCTTGAGCATCATCTCTGCAGTGTAACTACTGAAAGAGCGAGCTCTTTCTTGGTTCCTCATACTAGAGCCTTACTGAACTCTGCTTTTTTTCTCCTGTGTAAGATTTTCAGGCACATTCGTAGGCAATGCAGAATCCACATCTCCTCCCCCAGCTGCTACCTCTCCTCCAGCTGTTGCTGCTGCCACACTCCCTGCTGTGCCTACTATTCCAGTCGTGCCCACGATTGTTGGGGTGCCTAATACCGTTGCAGAGAGTGTACTGAACCCAAATGAAGTCAAGCCTCCTGCCAGTGGGACACGGAAGGCCAGAGTCCTCTATGATTATGAAGCAGCTGACAGCACTGAGCTGGCACTTCTTGCAGATGAGGTTGGTAGCTTTCCTTTGCGTTGAATTTTGCTGTAACTGCCTAGCAGCCCACTGCATGCTCAGCAAGGTCTTGGTTACTTTTCCTGCCCCTTAAAAACCCTGTTTTATAGAACTGCTAATAGTGTCTTTTCCTTGACACTAGTATCCGCTGAGTTGCAGTGAGCTTGTGCTCACGGCCGTTTGCTATTTAAGAATATCACCCCACTAACTCTTCTATTCCTATTGGAGTCTTGCTGTACCCAGCTAACAAAATACCCCAATACTTAGTGTCTTCACTGTGACCCTCAAATAGAGCTGCCTTACCTGAGAGCAATGGGATAAGCTACTGCCTGGAGGCCTGGTCTAATCATGCTGAGAAAAAAGGAAATTCGGCAAGTTGCGAACTCTTTTGTTGACTAGACTGAACTTTCGTATTCAGCAGGGATGACACAGCAATATCATGCCACCCTGTATGCAAAAATACCTTAAGTCAGTTTGGAGAACGAAAAGGCAACAGGGACATCACTGGGCAGATTTCTGTAGATCTTCTATTAAAGCTCCCGGGAAAGGGCACAGGCACCTGCTAAATGAACTTCAGGAATTATTGTTCTTTCAGTACCCATCTGACTGAACTGCTGGGCTCTGTCTGCAGAATAAGGTCTGGGCTAATGCTGTCTTCTCTCCCCAGATGATCACTGTGTACAGCCTGCCAGGCATGGATCCAGACTGGCTCATAGGGGAAAGAGGGAACCAGAAAGGGAAAGTTCCTGTCACTTACTTGGAACTGTTAAGTTAAATGTCTCCAGGAAGAAGAATGTACAAGCAGAATGCACCCCTCATCTCCTGGCACTTCTAATGCGGATTTCTTCATCCGAGACCATTGCTCTCTTCAGGGTTGACACTCCATTACTAATACGGGAATTGTGGGAAAGAAGTGGTAAAACTGTTACGGTAAGGTTTTGGGAAAGGGCTGATGGCACCCAAGACTGAATTCATTAACTACCACTGCAGCCTGCTTTGAGGTTAGTCTTGATGGTGCAAGATTCCTTGATTACTTTTTTCTACCCTACCCTAGTCTTGCTAATGGCAGTGGCTTTCCCAGGGCCGGCAGGCTGTCTCCCTCAGCAGCTGCTCACGAAGTTTAAGTTACACTTCCCTCGTGTCTGGTGTGGGTTAGTGCCTGTCTGCCCCTCCCGTCCTCTCTCCAGCAGTAGAATTGCCTAAGTCAAACCATCAAGCATTCCAGTGGGGAAGTGTCCCACACAAACCCTCTGACATGTTCCAGCTCTTAAGGCAAGGAAGCTGAATTTAAGAATCAAGAGCCTGTTAAACCCATCCACCTTGCTCACCTGTAGGAGAACAGTAGTGCGAGGCTCTCTAAGAGCCACACTTACTATCGTGGTGCCTGATGGCTGCAGTCTAGAACTGTCCTCTGAAGCTGGAAGGAAATTTCTTTGTGAAGACCAACCTAGTAACTTAGGGCCCGTATGTCAAAAATCAAACCTCAGTGCAAGGGACCATGCATCTTGCTTGCATTTCCTCTGAGAAACTGCTCTTGGACTGCAAAGAGTTTACAAGCCTTTTTACAAGCTTTGCTCCCTGTGTTAATTGTCCAGGCTTTTCTTTCAGTGCGTCTGTTCCAGGCATGTTTTAGCCTGACTTTATTTTCACCCTAGATCACTGATTTAACTAATATTTCCCCTCCCATCTCAGCAGCGAACAGACTTGGTGCATCCTAGTACAGTAAGGTATAGTCCCACTTGCTGGTATCTCCAGCAATGAGCTATTCGTGGCCGTACACACACTAATCAATCCAGGCTGCCCTCGATGTATGTGGTTTAGCTCAAAGGTGTGGATGCCTTTTAATCCTGTAATGAGCTTTTTAGCTAGAGCTCACCTAAAGGACTTCTGCTGCTGTGTAACTCGCTTTCCACTCAAGCTGGATGGAAGAGACACTCACCTGCACCAAGATCTCTGTTCACTACCTTCCTCTCGGTATGTCAGAACCAACTTTGCTCGTTTATTGATCTTTTGCACTTTCCCAATGGTATCGTGACCACTCTAATGTAACAGGGCACCGAGCACCTATGTAGGGCTCATGGTTTTCAGCACTTATTTGCCAATAAAGAAACTGCCTGACCTCCTGCCTCAGCATCTTGAGTGGGTTCAGGGCTGCCCTTGCTCTCCAGCCATGCGACTGCAGGTGGTAGGGACAAGCAGCGCTGGCGGGGAGGCAAAGGGAGGCAGCTCACGTGGGAGCTGGGCCGTTCCGCTATCCCGGTCTTGAAAGCCGGGTGTAAAAGCAAAACAAAGCTGCTGATCCTTCCTGTCCCAGCCGAAACTCTCAACGTGCCTTAAGATTGTTAACGTCTTGCAGTTCCTTTCCCAGATGACACATCTCAGTTGTACTACAGATTCAGGAACTCTAAGAAACAACAGCTCCTCCTTAACCTGAAGCAAAAATAGAGCAGCAGTATGACTTTAGCTGCTGAGAGACTGGAAATGCTATTCTAGATCTAACAGACTTTTCTGTTGTTATGGAAACCAAATCTGCTGCTAATTTAAAATCCTAAAGCCTTGTCCCTAGCACCCAGCTTGGAAAGAACTCCTGGGAAAAGCAGCTGTTGAAATGCTCTGTAGTGTAGCAATAGCGCTCAGTTTTTCTACAGTTAAACTCTAACGAAAGGGAATGGGGAAATCACATCGTGCTACTGTTTTAGTTAGTTTTACAATTGCAATAATTACCACTACCACAGTTCTACCCTTTTGTAGATCTACCCCTGCCTATTTCCCTCCCACCTTCCAGTATGTACACCTTTCCCTCAGGCCAGTTTCCCTTTATTCCTCTCCCTGGTGCATTGAAGAAAGAGGAAGAACAGCTTTAGCAAAAACAGCAGCAGCTTAATGATGCAGAAAATGGTGTCTCTTCCCTCAGAACAGCCAGAAGGAAGTCTTCTCCTGCCAGCAGCGCTCCCTTCCCTCTGCATTACAGAAGAGCACATGGAAAATCTATTGCTACTTCTAACTGGCTCTCTACAGGAGGATTACACTCTCATGCTGCTTATTTGCAGATGTCATGGTGAGCCACCCTTGAATCATAGAATCATAGAATCATTAAGGTTGGAAAAGACCTCTAAGAGCATCAAGTCCAGCCGTCATCCCAACATCACCATGCCCACTAAACCATGTCCCTAAGCGCCTCATCTACACATCTTTTAAATACCTCCAGGGATGGTGACTCCACCACTTCCCTGGGCAGCCTGTTCCAAGGCCTGACCACTCTTTCAGTAAAGAAGTTTTTCTTAATGTCCAGTCTAAACCTCCCTTGGCGCAACTTGAGGCCATTTCCTCTCGTCCTATCGCTTGTTACTTGGGAGAAGAGACCAACCCCCACCTCGCTACAACCTCCTTTCAGGTAGTTGTAGAGCGCGATGAGGTCTCCCCTCAGCCTCCTCTTCTTCAGGCTAAACAGCCCCAGTTCCCTCAGCCGCTCCTCATCAGACTTGTGCTCCAGGCCCTTCACCAGCTTCGTTGCCCTTCTCTGGACACGCTCCAGCACCTCAGTGTCCTTCTTGGAGTGAGGGGCCCAAAACTGAACACAGGATTCGAGGTGCGGCCTCACCAGGGCCGAGTACAGGGGCACGATCACCTCCCTGCTCCTGCTGGCCATGCTATTTCTGATACAGGCCAGGATGCCATTGGCCTTCTTGGCCACCTGGGCACACTGCCGGCTCATGTTCAGCTGAAAGCTGTTCCTTGCCCCTTTGTGGCTGAGGGGCAGGTAAAAGTACAATTCAGGGCTGAAATGCTGCTGTCTAAAGTGAAGCTATAGACACAGATAGCTTCTAAAACACAGATGTAACCAACAGCATCCACTATTCTTTGCTATCTGGCACTAAGGACTCCTGTCTAGTGCCATAAACTCTCTCTCTCTAGTGCTTGAGTAAGTATCTAAGAGAATGTATTATTTCTCCCTAAATTCTGATGCTATCCATTCTTGTTGAACACTAGTAAAGTGATTAGCACACTGCGTGTAACTTCAAAAGGTGTAACAAAAGGAAAGACACCGACAAGAGCTATCAAATAACAGCCCTAAGCACTACTGAACTGCTTAGATGTGCTGAATTCTGGCTTTACTTCCACTGCCCACAGCTACCTGTCACCAGTTTGCATCCTCTCTGCAGTTCTTCACCTTCAAATCTCCATGTTCGCACTCGTAGTTCCCCTGTGGCAGAAAGCGTTAACGGTTACAGGCAGCCCCATCTAAACACGATCAGGCCGAGGACTGTCACTCCACCTCCCTCACTGTCAGAGCAACTCACCTCAGTTTTTGGAAGGTAATCAAGCCCTTCTCCCTTCTACTTTAAGACCACTTTGCTCCAGCCAGCTAGTTAAAATCTCTCCAAAGCCTCCAGGGCAAGTAAAACTAGATCAAACAAGTGTGCTAGAATATCACCATCACTTAAGCCTACAAGGAAAAAAAAAAAAAACACACCAACCTCAAAGCAACATAATCTAATTTTCTCGCTCTAGTCTCTTAAAACCATCGAGATTAAAAAGGTTCTGACTGGTAAAGCAATCAAGCGTCTCTTTAGTAAAGAATTGGTAGGTTAGTAGCTCACAGCTACACTGAAATTTGATTTCTTACCTTAGAAAAGTCTATCTAGATTTCAGGCTTTATTTTAAGCAATAATCACTGACCTTCTCCTACTGTCTCCATCACACATTGAGCCTTGGAACCTTGAAGAGTTTGTTGATCTACTTGAGAGAGCTACAACAGCACAATGAAGCCTCGCTGTAGACAGTGTCTTCCTTCTAGCTTGAACCTGCGCCCTCCCCTGCTGCTGCAACAGGCAGAGTAGCAGCTTGGACCTGTGCACAGAGCGATCTGTGCGCATGCTCCACACCATCATGTGCAGAAGAATCATTCCTGAGGAGTATTTTATAGTGATGCTCGTTTAAAACCTCCTACGAGTTCCCCAACGTGAGAGTAAGGGAAAGGGAGTGGGTGTGGGAAAGCCGAGGGAATCAACCTTTGATTATAGTCGCTTCAAACAGTATCTGGATCGTCACTCACAAGCCACAACTCACATCACTGTTAGCAGAATTGGTGCTGCAGGCTGCTATGCCCCATACAAAACCATGAACCCAGCTGCTGTCAATAAAGGTTTTAATAACAGTATAAACAGGGCACAGTTACAAAAAACTGCAAGACTGGAACAATGGAATTTTGACTTAAAAACCTTGAGTGAGGCCTTGCTCTTCAGAAACACACACAACACACAGACTGCAGGGTGAAGGCGTGAGCACACATACATCATCTTGCCTTGAACCATTCAGTACAAAAATAGCAGTAGAAAGATGGTCTCTGAATTGCTGGCTGATCCCTTGGTTGTGCCTTAACTGGACTCTCACTGCGAGGGAGAGGCAGATTGCACCTTGTGTTGAGAGCAGAGTTAATGCCCAGCGGAAAGCTCGTCTCCTCTCTCCATCCAGCCACAGCTTCCCCAGCTGAGGTACAAGCTATAAAAATAAAGGTTTTGACTGTTCAGCGCTTGTACCCAGCCAGGATGCTCTAGCAGACAGAGCGGGCAGGCTGTGCACGTGGGCCGATCACTGAAGAGCCAGGCCTCCCTCCCTTTCCCACTCCTTGCTACGAGCTCTGCCAAAGGCAATGCCTTCTGAGGTGGACACGAATCGTTCTGCTCAAGTCCTGAAAAGGGAGGCAGGGGCAGGATAGACTCTATCTCTGCAGGTGCCGGACAAAGGCCTGCACGAGCTGAAACAAAGGCTCCTGCCCTTCAGGACCCAGCTTGGAGGCAGACTTTCCTTGGGGAGAGGGAAGAACCCCGCTGGCAGGTGAAGAGGGACCACCCCGGCGGAAGTAACGAGACAGGCTGGAGAGCAGCGTACTCTGAAATGAGAAGCATGTAACAACTTAGCTTCCTTCAATCACATGCCCCTCTCCCTCCCCAAACAAGGTGCCGGTGGCACAGGAACAGGCACTGGTACGTGCAGCCCAGGATGCCTACGGCTGGGGACTCATGCTGGGGAACGGGGTCTTCTGGGCAGCCAAAGACAAATGACCTTCTCCCACTGGCACATTTACACTGAACAGCAACAAGGGAGGGTACAAGCCGCTTACCAGCTCAGAGCTGAGCTCCTGTTTCATCCGCTGCTTATCACGGGGATGCACAGCTGGGTCTCTCAAGTACCGAACAGCCTGGGAGATGAGCAGGTAGAAACAGTTTTCCATTGTAAACATGAGCAG